TGAATTTCACCCCTGCCAGGGACACTTAAAGTAAAAGTGGGCAGAGGACAGGGTTTCATAGGAGACAGCTATTCAAACCACTTACCGACAGTCGGAGCGCTCTGCCTGTGATAAATGAACACGGAGCTTCCGACTCAAGGAGAAAGGGTCTATTTGTCTGGAAAACCTTGGCTAGCGATGGGCATGCTGCCACTACTCCGTGTCCAAGCTCCAGTCATGATTGAACAGTGCCGCCTCTGAGGGATGTTCCTAGGTGAAAAATTAGCACTGGCGCCTCTCGTAACGCCTTTATTGGAAGGGCGACAAAAAACTTGACAGCCGCCCTCTCCGTGCAGTCAGAACATTTCCCCAGCTTGCGTGTGTCCTTACCGCTCCAGTAGTGATGCCTGTACTCAGCCAGCGCCTCCGCTGAGGTAAACAGGGATTCTTCCGTTGAGATAGTGTTGCCCCCCTATTTACTAGCGCTAAAAGCTTGAGTCATATGGTGGTACCAGTGGCTAAGCAAAACCACCCACTGACTTCAATGGGTGTGACACTGGGATCCCTTCCGGGCCAACTGGTAGAGGTGCTCCCATCTTGTAACTCACATCAGGGGCCACGAATTCATGGCCCCAATACATAGTTGTCATAATAACGGGTTGGGTCCAGGGTATTGAGGGCCGTCTTCTCCCATATGAACCTGCCGAGGGATTAAGGTCAGCTGGGGAGGCTCTGCTCCGTGTTCTTCCACTTGTGGAGATAAGATTAACTCTACGCGGAGCAGGGGCCTTCTCAGCTTTTGCTCCCAGGCTGTGGAACTCTCTCCCCCGGGATATTCGCCTAGCGCCAACGCTAGTACTGTTTCAGTGTCAGGCTAAAGCCACTCTTTGTACTCGTGCTTTTATTAGTGTGTGTGTCCCTCCTCTCGAGATGTCTTAGCCAGTGTGATGTCCCCCTGGGGTCTCGTGTTTTAATTTTTGTATATATATTTACATTGTGTTTTTGCAAGCCACCTCGCATATTTTAAAGTTTAATTTTTTATATATATTTACATTGTGTTTTTGTAAGCCACCTCGCATATTTTAAAGAGAGGCAGGGTACAAATACTTCTAATAAAAATTAAATAAATAAATAATACGCATCTCCAAGGCATCATGTAAGGCACCACGTATAAAATAGGTCCCAGACGTCACCGCATGCTGCACGCACAGGTTGTGTATGAAGAGCTATAGCAGCGTGTTGGAAATGCATGTGTAAAATGCATGGGGCAGCAGTGCAGAAAGCCAGCCGGCCCTAGACAAAGGAACGTGCATTTGCCGACGTGACCAGCTTGACTATCAGTGGAGGACAATGACAGTGCATTTACATAAAGCCATCAAGCTGAACAAGTGGTGAGGATGCCGCCTGACCTAGGGCTGCATTTACATAAAGCCATCAAGCTGAACAAGTGGCGAGGATGCCGCCTGACCTAGGGCGTGTGTGTAAGTGATAGCGCTGACTTGGAAAAGCCAATTAACACTCTGTAGTTTGGCAGGGCTCCGCCGCATGAGTGTGTGCGAGTTACAATGAGGACCCATGTGTACACACTTAGGAAAGGTGCTCTCATATTTATTAGCACAGGTAGCAAGAATACAAACATGCTAACCCCACCAAGACGCCAGTGATAATATAGAACGGTCAAAATGTCCCCCATCCAGACACACACACCATCCTTATAGAAAAATATGACACGTTCCTCATCACCCTACTGTCTTCCCAGGCACGTTGGCAACACACACACCATCCTTATAGAAAAATATGACATGTTCTTCATCACCCTGCTGTCTTCCCAGGCACGTTGGCGGGGCTACAGCTTTATACTGTGTTACTTTGATTCCCACTATGCCTAATGCAGCGTCAGTAGGAGGCTCAGCCCTTGTTCCTTCTCTGTTCCATCCCCTGAGCAGTGTGGCAGTGACTGTCTGCCATAGCCCAGAGACAATTCTGTCTTGGTCACAGATCCCCTGACTTGCCAGGACCTCTGTGGTTCATCCTGGCACAGGGTAGGAGCAGCTATCAGCCCCAGAGCTGCAGCAGTGGCTGGGATTGGGTCAGCACGCATGGAACTGGAGCAGGTAGTTTATGGCCCATGACCCATCCCTGACTTTTTACTGCAAAAAGCCAGGAGAGACTCTTAATCTTCCCCCAGCGGTCACTTGGCCTTCCACCTCATGCTTACTGGCATGCACCACAGTTACTAAGTATGACAGCGGTTTTCAAACTTACTTTCTCGCGGTGCAGTTGAAGAAAATTGTGGAGGCCCATGACCCAACATAGAATCACAGAGCTGGAAGAAACCTCAGGAGGTCATTAAGTCCAGCCCGCTTCCCAAGGCAGGACCAATCCCAACTAAATCAACCCAGCCAGGGCTTTGTCACTGGAGTGTGGGCTCCGAGGTGGGGCTAAGGAGGAGAGCTTTGGGCTGCAGGAGGGGGTTCTGGCTTTGGGGCGGGGGCAGGGCTGGGGCAGGAGTTTAGCTTGAGTAGCTCCCGGTCAGCAGTGCAGTGGGGCGGCTAAGGCAGCTTCCTGCCTCTCCTGGCACCCCAGACCATGCTGCACCCCAGAAGCAGCCAACAGAAGATTCCTGCCAATGGGAGTGTGGAGCGAGTGCTCAGGGCAGGGGCAGGACACAGAGCCCTGGGCACTCTCCCTCACACACACACTTGGGAGCCGGCACTGCTGCCGGCCACTTCTGGGGCACAGCGCAGTCTGCGGTGCCAGGATAAGGGGTGGCTGCCTTAGCTCCCCCCTTCCCCTCACTGGTCACCTCACTCCCCTGCAGCAACGAGACCCAGCTCCGACATTCCACCACCCACTGCTGGGTGACGACCCTGCGTTTGAAAACCACTGGATTGTTGTGGTCAGCCGTCGGTTAACATTCCTAACGTAAAATAGCTAAAGCTGACACCAACTGGCAGCCTGTAGCTAAGGGTCAGCGGTGTAGCAACACCTCCTTATAACCTCCCGCTGTGCTGAGGCAAAATACAGCCCACGGGCCACCTGCCAAACCTTTGGAACCGACCCACCACCGTCTCACAGCCCAACCGGACTCCCTGCCATCTGCACCCCCACGCCCCGCTCAATGTGGCCAGCTGCGGGGCCCATGGGCCTAATGGGAGCTGTCTGGGCTGTGCTTACAGTGCAGGCAGCACATAGAGGGTTCCCCTCCCCCTCAAGGGACACATAGTCACTTTGAGTGGCATGGGGGGTGCGGCAGGCAGGGAGCCTGTCTGAGGGTCCTGCTGGGCCCCTGGCTAAGAGAGCGAAGAATGTGATTAATTGAAGCCAATTGGCAGGACGTTGCTAATGCAGATTGGAATGTGAGCAGGGCTCCCCTAGGAAAACCTTCTTTTGGGGAGGTTTAGCAATCACAAGTGCCTAGGATCTTCGTTTCACATCTCAGTCTTTAATCCTTCAGCAGCAGCCTGCCTCCACGCCAGCTTAGTGTTGACCAGGAGAAAGCAGGCTCCCTACTTCAGCGATCAAGATCACTGCTTTCCCTAAAAGTGTCTCATTCCCACGACTGCCCCGGCTTAGTCTGTGAGATCAGACGAGATCACACAACCTGAGGCAGTACGGCCGCAGGCATGAAACTCGTACCCCTCTGATCACCGATTCCCAGTTGTGCACACGTTAATTTGGATGGCAGCTAATGCAGATTCATCTCCATGTGATGGTTCGTTGAGAAAGCCCTTGTACAAACCTGGAGCTTGTCATATCACATGTCAGGTACTTGGTAAGGAAGCACCCAGCAAACGGAAGCAAGATGTTTCTCTTCAATGTTCACAACAGCATTAACACTGTGCACACAAAAGAAAACACTGATTTGCACTGAAATATCATCACAACCCAACAGGGACACAATCAAGATACAAGCTATACTTAGAAAAAAAGAAAAAAAAAGCCATTCTTCAGAGGTTTTATCCCTTGTCTAAAGACCATTTAAAAATCTGAGTAGCTGACTTTTTTTAATGTTTGCATTTCACTTTGGGTTTTTTCCCTCAGCTTGGATTGTGTCAATGAGGAGATGGCTCAGTTTCATTGCCTAGTTCTAGTCCGTTTCACTTGCTGGTTGTCAGGCATCCGCACTGCATCTGGGTTTCCAATTTGCTGAGGACTATCTAAACACACTCTATGCCATTTAATGTGGCTTAATTACCATTTTCACTTTCCAAAAAAAAAAATTACAGAAATACATTTGAGCTATAATAGCTTGGCAGCATCTTGTCAACATCAGATCTACTACCTGGATGGAAAAACTCTGGGTGTTCCTTATTCTAAGGAAGGTTTCTGAATTTTTGGTTCCATCAAGAGGATGGAACATTACTTCAAGAGCTTTAGTGAATACATCATCACAATATCATTATGCATTATGGGCCTAACTCTGATTTCACTTCAATAAATGATGAGCAATGAGATTTTCCATGGGGAAATCTACAAGTGGGTTGTGGAGGATGATTTTTTTTTTCTTCATCATGGATACAGAGTACAGGGCATGTGTGAAAAATGTTCATTTGCAATCTACTGCTTAGCCACTAGAGGGCTCTCTGTGTTGTACTGAGATCCAGATAGAGTAACTCCCTGGTAAACAAAGGCAGACTGAGCTGGAAATTGAGCTCTGTGCAAGCCTGTTTGGTTTGCAGCCACCTTTTTTAGACTTTTTTTTAAACAACTACTCCCAGGTATTTCTATGGCATTGTATTCTCATTTACTGCATGGATGGGCACCACATAAGTAGACAAATACTGTAACCTATGGGCAGGTGTATCAACCAAGACCTTTTGCATGCACAAACCTCCATAGGATTTTGTCCTCAATCCTGTGTAGAGATCTGCCACAGAGCAGAGCACTCCTATGACATTTCTTAACACCTGCCCCAACTCCAAGTACAGGGAAAGGCGTGTCTACATATTTCAAAGCAGGTGTGCCCATAGTGAGGGAGCATTGGGCATGGCTCTGAATTTAAAGACCAATCAAATCAGTTACACCACTGAAAGAGACCAAAGAGACTGAAGGCATTGGAGCAAATCAGGGCTCTGAAACTTTTATTAGCTGATCAGAAGCATAAGCCCGTCAGCCTAACAGTTAACATCAGCAGCGTATTGGCAACTGGAACCCAAGAATGTAAACCCACTGCATTTTCACAGTGATAAACCAAAATGTATAAACCATGTCAGTATCAAATGATTGTTTTAGCAAGGCCCAGATTTCAAAAGCAAAAGACTTCACATTTGAGATTTTGCTCATCATCAGAAAAATTATTCACAGATAGAACACTCCTGTCCCCTCCACAAAGGAAAGCTAAACAAAGAGTCACCTTTCTGCCACTATTTTCAAATGGTGATCAAAGTCTCTTGCTCAAACAACTTCCATTTTTCAAACGAAGGCTGGGGGAATAGAGTAGTTCAAGGCTGAACGATTCTAACTGTAACCACTTAAAAAGTTATTTTTTTTTAAATTGATCTTAACACATTTTTGTGATT